TGTGCAGGGCGGACGCTGGGGTGTGGGGGGTAGAGCCCAAGCCGCCTTTCCCGCCCCCCCCCCCTCCCTCCAGCACTCTTTTTATTCAGCCTTTCTTGTCTTGTTTAAATAGTATTTCGTGGGGTAGTTCTTTGAAAGGTTGTTGGAAAAATGCAGTTCCACATTGTGTTATTTTACTGCAGAATTCAGTGGGGTTTTTTTTACCAATCAGTGTGGTGTTATTTTACTGCAGAATTCAGTGGGTTTTTTAGAGTTAGGGTCAGGTGTTGATGCAGTTCATGCACTAAAATGTCTGAATAACTGCTGAGAGGAACTGACTTTAAATCTGTGAAGGAACAGAACTAAAAAGCTCATCTGTAGATTTCTGTTGCTCAGGTGCTAATTATGAACATTTGAATTTTTACATGGTCTTGGAATCACAACGATGCCGTCCACTCTTTGACCCTAGTAAATAGTAACATTTCTAAAGGTCCTTCACGGCCCTTTGAACTCCGGGTGGCAGCAGCAGATACAGTCACTTCTCCTAATGCTGAAACCCCAAATTTGATTTTATTATAATATATATTTTTAATTTCTGTTAAATATAAAATAATTATTTCTGTGCAGTTTGTGCTGACTTGGTAATATTAAAAAAAACACACAGAAGAAGAACATGCAAATTCCATATAGAAAGACCAGGCATCAAACCAGCACAAAAATTATTTGCTGTAAGGCAAGAGCACAAACCACTCTTCCACCATGTGACCTGCACGAGGCAACAAAAGAAACAGGGATATAACGAGACATATTGATTTTTTTATACGTGAATCCAGTTTTACTTGAAAGTGTAGAAAAATGTGATTTCTGTTGATTTGTTACTGTGATGGAGTTGGTTTTAGATCTTAGCATGGAGCTCCCCGCGCAGCCCTGAAATCCACATTATTGTTGTGTTTAAATCTTGACCACAACCAGCACTTAGGAAAATATTTAGATTATAAGAAAAGTTCATGTCCATCGTATAAAAAAGAAGAACTCCTGGGGGCACAGAAACTCCTGAGCTGTGCCCCCCAGACCTTTGCACCTTATGGTTCTTGTTGCACAGGGCAAGAGGGACCACCGAGGGGCGGCTGGGGTGCTGATGACACGGGGCAGTTATATATAGCCCTGCTGCCCTGTGGCACTCTTCACTTCCAACCACAGTTTCATAAACTTTAATTTAACATGAACCAGAGGTTGGATCTCATCACTGTCCTGGGGGGGTTTGATCAGTGAGTGAAGGACAGACGTCACACAGAGATGTGTCCAACTGCACCTTTACATCCTACGCAGGCATGTGAACGGACAGATATGACACCAGACTGCAGATATCTCCACATCACCTCCTCCAGCCCTCATCACAGGACGTGTTCAAACACATCCTGGTTTCTGCAGCCGTTCAGTCTGTAATTGATGTCACGGGGAATAAGTGTGAAAACTAGATCTGGGAGGGGGTCCAGACTGGAAGATCAGACTTTTCTAATAGGCTGAGGATGGGGAGAGGAGGAGGCGGAGATGAGTTGGGAAGCAGTCTGTGAGATTAATTTTTTTTATTCTGGGTCTTTCACTGGGGGCCTGCAGGTGTGCGTACAAGATCAGAAAGGCTTGACTGAAACATGAAACATACATTTGCATGACTTTCCATAAAGAACATATATTTCTGGACCTTGACCAAATATGGTTAGTGACTCTTTTTTATTCTATATGTTAACTCTTGACCAAAACTTCACAGTAACAAAATAATACAGTATCGACAAGACACTGTAAAAACACTAACATGGTGAATGTAGTTCTACTTATTTTTACTGTCCTAATATTTCACCAGGGGTTAAAGGGTTATTTTTTAAGAGACCCTCAGGGTCACCAGCTAACATGCTACCTGACAGCGTCTGACAGCGTGGGCCTCGATACGTGGACAGACTTTGGTTCACAACTCTCTAACAGTTCCATGTAAACCGTTTATTTTTTTCTCTCCCGGTGAAGTTTCTCCTCCGTGCAATTATGAAAAGCCCAGTTCACAACTTACTTGGGGTTATGTTTAGCCAATGCCCCCCAACAGACTTCCAAGTGTCTCAAGTTACTTCCCTGTTTTAAAATAGCACATCCTCCCATTCTCCAGCTGAGCTGTCACGTCAGGAGCCTCAGCTCCTCTAACCAGGCCACACAACTCTTTTATTACCTAGAGATGCTCCTTCTTGCTGATGCTGGGGGTTGTAACTCTTTTATGTTCCCACTCCCCATTTGTCAACATGTGGACCAACAATCTGTAATGTCAAATAATGTCACTTTTCACTCATTAAAGAAGAGTTCTGGTGCAGCAGGGAAGTCCTATTCACATGTGTAGCATGCACAGCAAATGTCTGTTGTCATGGTAACAGACTTGGCAGCTTCTAATATTAATAATAAACTGATTGATTGCACGACTATAGCACATTGTACGTAGCATGTTAGCAGAGCTATCTGTGAGCCGTTTATACATACAGATGTCTGATGCTCATATATCTATATAAAAACACAGATAATATATATTTTCCTCATCTGTATCTAACGACTCTCTTCTTATCATTGTTTCAAAACTCATTCTGTGTTTTTTTTGCCTCCTCTCTGCTCCTGTAGGAACCTATCAGGGACAGTGGACTAGTGGGATGCGTCATGGTTACGGTGTTCGCCAAAGTGTTCCGTACGGCATAGCCTCAGTTATCCGCTCCCCTCTGCGCACCTCGCTCGCCTCTCTTCGCAGTGTGCAGAGTAACGGTACGGTACTGCGGGACAGCCTGTTCGACGGTCCGGCTGGCACACGTGGTGGCTTCGTCCTCAACTTCCACTCGGATGCCGAGGGTTCGGAGAAAAAGAAGGGACTTTTCCGCCGCGGCTCTCTCTTCGGTAGCTTACAGCGACTACGCAAGTCGGACTCACGCTCGTCTATTTCCAGTAAGCGCAGCTCGGCAAACAGTGACAGCAACGTCAGCCGCATCAGTTCAAGTGATGCCACCTCCACCATTAGTTTTGGAGATGGAGAGCTGGCTGAAGACTACTTGACTCAGGAGGACAACGTGGACGCCACCACCACTGAATCCTACATGGGAGAGTGGAAGAACGACAAGCGCAGTGGCTTCGGTGTCTCAGAACGATCCAACGGCATGAAGTACGAAGGTGAGTGGTTGAACAATAAGCGCCACGGCTACGGCTGCACCCTCTTCCCCAATGGCTCCAAGGAAGAAGGGAAGTACAAAAACAACGTACTGTCCAGAGGGCTGAGGAAGCAGCTGTTCCCGCTGAAGAACACAAAGACAAAACAGAAGGTGGACCGAGCCGTCGAGGGGGCGGTGAGAGCAGCGGCCATTGCCAGAACCAAAGTGGAGATCGCCATCTCCAGGTAAACTGTCAGGGTCACCAAGGACTGGAAAATCCGGCTCCTTTTGAATGTTTTTACAGTTTTGGGAGGAAAAACTAGATCAGTCAACAGCTTCAAAACCTGTGGTTATGGTTTCCATTCAGTCCTGGTTCGATTCCCTCCTCTGATTTCAAAAGTGTTAATTTGAATTTAAATCAAAATAAATCAAATATCTAACTCAGCAAATGTAACAGGATGACATACCGTTGACTTCCTGTGGATTACTCTTATTCTTATGGTTTTCTTTTCAATTCCAGTGTCAGCTTCTTCTTCTTCTTGATGTTTAGTCAGAGCTTCATGTTGTTCTCACCTCCTAACGTTGTGTGTTTGTCCAGAACCTCCCATGCTCGAGCCAAAGCAGAGGCTGCAGACCAGGCTGCACACTCAGCCAGTCAGGATTCAGACATCGCCAGAGCGGTGGCCAGAGAACTTTCTCCAAGCTTCTATCAGCCAGGTACTGCTGCCCGGTGGAGATAAAGTACACAAATGTACACAATATACACAAATGTATGAAAAAGCTACTTCACAGTAGCTTTATATTTATATATATTTCCGTAGAGTGAATGAGCCCCTTGTTAAATGAACTCTGGACTAACCTGGAGTGTGCTACTAACACATCAACCATCATCCTGACGTCTCCGTCGTTCCTTCCTGTCCTCCAGGACCTGACTACATCCACCAGAAGTACAGTGAGCCCCTAGAGAAGAAGGAAATCCCTCCAGAGGAGGAAAAGGAGAAGTCTCCGTCGAGAAGCCCTCACTTCTACCGCAAAGGAACGACTCCCAACCAGTCTCCCTCCCAGAGCCCCAACGCCAGCCCCACTCCGTCACCCGTGGCTGTAAAAAAGAGCTTTTTTCCCACTAAAACCCCAAACACCACCACCACTGCTGCAGCAAAGCCTGCTGGGAAGGAAAACAACCCCACAGTTAGTGACAACGTGACAACAGGTAGTCAAGTCAGCTGGCTCGGAATATTTTCTGAATTTTCTCTGTTTGGTTTCGTGTACTTTAACAAAGTACTTCACAAATGAACTCATTGTTCAAGAACAGACTTCAGTCGTTGGCCAAATGTTTCAGACACTTCCAGTCAAATCTCTGAAGGAAGAGGAACTTATTCCTCGTCTGCAAATTCATTTTCAACGTAGCAAAATATACCAGTGTATACCAACAGAGTACTGACCTCAGGAGTTAGGTTTCTGTTAGACCTTCACACTCTCACATCCTTCTCCCAGGTGTTTCACTTCTGTACTTCTTGTGTACTTCTTGTGTACTACATGTGTGTCTCCTCCCCTCAGGAGAGAACACAGTCTGCCTCTGCAGATTATGTCATGTGTATGGAATATTTTTATTTTATTTTTATACATAAAACATATAAATATACATATCTTATATTCTATATGTACATGTATGTATGTATATATGTAATATTATTATATCACTAACTCCTCCCTGTCTCCGTATTCGTCTTCTCCTAATTCTTCTGATCTGTTTGACAGGAATAACAAAGATGGCATCCAAACAGTCTCAGGAAACTCAGGAAATGAAACAACGTGACGCTCCTGCCGTCACCAAACCAGCTGTCAACGCGGCAGCCAGCGTTCACCCCAGTAACGGGCAGATTCACGCCCAGTACCACGGCTACTTTGTCAAGGCAGAGGTCATGAGTCCACCTCCTGATGACCTGCTGGGCATCGAGGAGGACCTTCACCCATCATGCCTGGCACGGCTGCCGCCTCAGCCCAAACGGGCTGCGACCCCGGTACTAAAGTCCCTCCCAGCCCCAAGTCCTTCGCCAGTTCCTCCGAAAGAGAGCGCCAAAGTCCAGGAGCCCGCCAAGCTGAAACGACAGGAAACTATCAAATCAAAGAGCTTGGCCGAAACTAAGAAGGCCAGCATGGACGTAGACACAGAAGTGGAGAACGAGGAGTCGGTGAGTTTGGACGAAGCTCTGACAGGAGTGGACACCGGCAGACTGAGCTGGACCTCCTCTAGAATATTAATAAATATGTGTGTACACGTGTAGGCCAGTGTGTACTCAATGCCAGTCTGCCACTATTTGTGGCAGCAAATAAAAAGGTTTAGGTGGGACAGGCTGTACCAGGGTAGGTCCAAAAGTTCTAAAGCAGAAGTTCTAATAAAAAAAAGATAAAAGAGGTCTCTCTGTCCAACAACTTTGACAGTTTTTATCGTTATATTTTTAGTTTTCCAACTGTGTAACATACACATTTTAAAATCAGACCAAATGTCAACACATAACCAAACCTGAATGGAAACCTGTTTGTTGCTAGGCGACAGATTTGTGATTTGTGATTCATTATTTCTTATCATTTTTAACACAGCCACTCCAGTGAGTGAAAGTGAAATGATCTGTATTTGTTAACTTTTAAATTGATTTTTGTAATTTTTTTGACACCACATCTGCAGTTCTGTTAAAGAGACGGAGCTCGATTTCAGCAGTAAGACCAGTGTGAAAGGATTTCTCATTAAAATACACATCATGGTCTGTACAGTGTCATCATGATGGACCAAACAAAATGTTTTTCGTCAAAAGAACTTCATTTATAGACATTAGACAGTATTATTTTAAGTAGTTTAAAACAGATTTAGAGAAGAGGAGTGAATTATTTGTTCAGTGAATTTTTTTAACCTTTTGCTCTGTTTTTACAGGGTCCTAACTCCGTCTTTGTGGCTCTCGTCATGCTTCTGAATCTAGGTCTAGCCATTCTTTTCGTCCATTTCCTCACCTGACACAACTTACCTCAGGTAAGAACCGATTGGTGTGCGTTCAAAAGTCACGCTGTTCTATAAAAAAAATAGATATCTTTGTTATTGTTATTATTGTTGTTAGCATTAGCATTTTTAGAAATAAATATAATGTTTAAAATATAACAGTATTTGTATTTTATGTCGGGTCCATAGTGTAGCGGTTAGCAGAGAGCAGAGCCTCCTGGGTTCAATTCCCCAAGGAACCACATAGTTGATTGTTAATCCTCCTCTTGTAAGTCGCTTTAGATAAAAACATCTGTCAAAATGTGCAAATGTCAATAGGAAATACTCTCCTCTATTTAGATCTGCAAATAAAAAAAATGACTTGACCTGTTCAGGATTAGGACACGTGTCCTCAAGGGACCTTCTGATGTGGTTTTTGTGATCAGATCCGGGGTCTCAGGTCTAAACTCTCCACCCACTTGGAGTGTTTAGACCTGAGATCAGATCACCCTGGACCTACGTGAATTCCAAGTCAGAACAGGGAGACAGGGTTCTTGTTTTTGGTTTGTTTTTCTGGAGGTGAGTCCAGGTGTCGTCTGTATGAGTGGATCTTCTCTGCCTGAAGGTTCAACATTTCTCATTTTGCAGAGGACTCGTCCACGTCGGTCAGCCGACCTGCCAACAATCCACCAGTCGAAGGGGACTTTTAAAAAAGTGATGCCAGTCAGAACAGCAGACATGGGCTGAAATGGAAACTAAAAATAGACGAGTGGAGGTGAAAAGGGAGAAGGAGGAATAGTTGAGCAAAACAACATAGGGGAAATAGAGAGAGGTGAGAAGCAGAGATAGAGAAAGATGAAACCTTCTCTGGCCTGCCCCCTCTCCTCCTGGACGTTCTGGATGACTGCCTATGGTGCTGGAGTCCCGGCTGGTGGAACTGGTGATGATTTGTGACTTCACTCCACAGAGTGCATGGAAAACTGACACAAGTGGTCGCTGGTTGGAAATGGGGCCTAGAGCCACAGCTTTGGATTTTCAATCAGGGTTTAGAATTAAGAGGTCTGTCTGTCTGAATGTGTGTGTGAGTGCGCGCGCGTGTGTATGTGTGTTTATGAGCAAGACAAGGCGTTAGCTTCACCTTGCCTGTACCACCTGACATGTGAGCGTTTGCCTCTTTCGAGCTTCATTTCCATCCAGCTGTTAAACATCTGTAGAAGTTTTGACATATTGCAATAAAAAAAGTTTTGTGCCTGGTTGATATGTGTGGATGACGCTTTGTTGCCTCATTATTTTCCAAAGACGCTGGGAAAACTGGGGTGCTGTTTTGGTCTTTCTCACTTCCAGGCATTTGGGAAAAGTCCTGAAAGAAGTCCACACAGTGGAGGAGTGTGTTGAGCCTTACACTCAGAAAGTTGCTAGTTTGATCCCCGGGGATAACCCCCTCATCTCCCCTCTGACCCACACACCCCCAGTTGAAATACTATTGAGAACTTGATAACATGTATATTTTTATCTGTATAATCCACTGTATGGGTTGCTGCCACCTAGTGACTGGAGGCTTGTTACCATTTATTCAAGCATTATAGCACTGGTACACAGTGTGCCATATTCCATTGGAAGCCCCTCAAGCCCCCCCCCTTTACCTCACCACACCCCCCAAGGGGGGCCAGCCCCACTAATTGAGAAGTACTGGGTTAATTGTTCACTCTAAATGTGCGTGAAAGGTTGTATATGTCCAGACAGAACATGATCCTTGGATGAACTGTCAAGGAGTTGAGTAACTGTTTTCCTCTGCCCTCTGTGTCTCTGTGAACCAGCTTGATGTTGAACACCTTCATTTAATGATCTGTTCAAACCAATGGCTCTTCTTTCCCTCAATGTTTCATTGTCGGTTCCCTGTCATGGCATGGTTTCTTTCATAGATGGCACCGTCTGTTGTGTGTTTTTTTTTTCTTCTAAATTTCTATGTGGACAGATGTTAGAAAATGTTGCATGTGTGTAGGTGTAGACTAGACTTAATACAGTAAGACACATTTTCAACAGAGGCGCCCACTAGAGGTAACCACGGATGACCACTGCCTCCCTCTGAGCATCTGCCCCTTTCCTGTCCTCTGACCCACATTAGAAATATAGCCCATATACCAGGTGTATTCATTAGACAGGACCACAGGACCACGGGCTGGAACCAAGTTTGGGACTGTTCTGGTGCTCCACCCTCAGGTTTTCAGTGTCCACACTGTTCTGGTGACACTGATTTCTACACAGACATCTTCCATTTCCTGTAGTGTGTTCTAGGTGCCAAAAAAAAAAAGTCAATATTTATTTGCTTGTATATTAAAGTTCTCTGTCGTCATGGCCAAAAATAAATCTCCTGATGGTTTCTCTACTCTCCTGCAGCACAAAAGTACTGGACACAACCAGGCAGCCATGATGGAAATGACTTAAGTATGAAGTCATACAGAAAATACCAAATGTTATATGTATTTGACCTTTAAAAAATGTATACTGCACAGTTATTATACTGTAGTAGTTTTAACTAATAATCTTAACGGAGAAACTTAATTTTTTTTTAAATTACTTCACTTACAATGCATATTTAAGTATTTTTAATTACAGTAACTTCAAATCTGTACGATATTCAGTTTATTCTTAGATTTTCTGCCTACATGACAGTTTTGCTGTGTAAGTGGTTACTGTGTAGATATAATTGTGACATATTTGTCTTTAAGAAAATTAAAAATTATTTTAGTGTGAGGACACTTTGTTCTTGTCAGTACATTTTGCAGATCTTTGAGTCAGTGAGTATATCAAAGTTCAAGGATTAGGATTAGGATTAGACATGTATCAAAGAGAGTTTACAGTTAAAGTAACGGACGAGGGAATGCAACATGTCTGTAAAGACGTCACAAAATACGAGAAAAAACTGTGTGTGCTGGGGTATGGTGGAGTGGTGCTCGCTGTACTGGAAATGTTTGCTCATGCACTCTGATGGAGGACAACAGCTGCTTGACCGTTTTACAGAGTGACGCGTTGGAGGGTGAAAATGGCCCGTCCAGGAATGCGAGGCACTCGGCTCATTTAGCCTGTGCTTGGCTCTCAGAGGGAGTGTATATTTCTATTTGTCTGTCGACCCATCCCTCCATGTTCGTAACTACGTCTGTGGCTCTCAGTTCTCTTCAGATGCTTCACATGAGACAGTCAGAGGTTCAGTTCTGCAAATGTGTGACTGAAAAATCAGCCCTGATGTCACGTGTGTGTGTTATGTGTACATGTGTTTGTGAGGCCAGTGACTCCATCTTAATCCTCATAGATGAACACAGAAGTGTGTGTAAAATGTCATTAAAAAGAGGTGCTTCTAGAAAGACTTCAACGACTTGTAGGGGATCCATGGATGTACTACAATACTGCGTGTTTTTTTTTTGTTTTGTTTTTTTTGTTTTTTGTTTTTGCATGTTTTTTAAACACCCAATCTTTTCACAACTCTAAGTATATTTAAATATACATTAGAAAATTTGAATCCTAATGTTATCTTTTAGTCAGAGTTGCACACTAAAACGAGATATGTTTTATAAAAATACACTTCATCACGTATTACTATGAATTAAATGATAACTAAATGGCGGAATTATTTAGGTATCCTGAGCTTTTAACCCTAAGAATGTAAATTACGAAAACTTCCGGGAATACCCTGTTATACTTTCAGGTACCACTAGAGGTCCTTGTCCCCCTTGTTTGGATAGGCTCTCTCTGCTCTCCACCGCTGGTGGTACGTTCCATCCTGACAACAATGCAGGTTTTCCTGATTTGAGGAGGGAGTGCGAAAGGTGGAGGAACAGCTTTATTTAAATTATTGATAAAGTCGTAGGCTTTATAAATGCTACTAATATAAAATTATTTTTTATTAATGAAGCTTTAATCATATTTGTTTGTTTATATATTGTTTTTTGAGACAGGCAAAATTTCCAGCGCCATTATCACTGAAAAAGTAACAAAAACATAACTGAAAATTAACAATAATAGAAATTAAAATTTCATTTAAATTATTATTAGAAGTAATAATAATAATAATAATATAAAATGTATTTTTGTTATTATTAATGAGAATGTATAGCTTTGAATCCCCTACGTTGTCTCCACTGACTCCCTCCTCACAGCAGGGAGACCTGCATTGTTGTCAGTGTGGACCGTACCACCAGCGACAGAGAGCGGGGGTGTGTTGATTGCTTCAGCCGTTGGACAGCTCCCCTCTTTCATTCTGTCTGATGATGAACCTAGAGCTGCGGGCCAGGCCTTTAACAAAAGCTCGTCCATTCCTGGCTGGTTCTGGAGGTCTGTGGGTCAAAGTTCGTCGCGGTGCCGCTTTTGTGGGTCCCCACGGTAGAGGAGCAGAGAGGATAGCATTCTGAGCCATTGTTCTATTGGCTTCTTCTGTAGGAGCAGCATCTGGACTTGGCATCTTCAACAAAAACACAGAGCCGAAGCGGAAACGACGCCGCTCTCAAAGGAATCTGGAGCCGTTTTACTGTCCCTGTCTGGCCTGACAGTGAACATCAGGTCCACACTGTGGAGGACTGTCCGCCAGCATGTCACCTAAGAACACACACTCGACACCGCTGCTGCCGCTGCTGATGCTACTGAGTAGCATGTTTAGCATCACCAATGCTACATCCACGGGAAACCGTAAGCAGGCTAAAACACACACACACACACACACACAGGCACTGAAACAGTTTTTTGTGTTTTATGAGTCCTTCACTTTGATAAAATGCACTCCTGAGCCCTAACCTTTACTTTACGATTCAGTTTTCGGGGGTCGTTGTACACACACAAGGAAATGCATCCTCTGCATTTAACCAATCCCTGGGGAGCAGCTCAACCAGGGCAGGATTTGAAGAAGTCAGATTCAGTGGACTACTAACTGCCCTTACTCTAACTTTTACTCCAATCTAAGCCTAACTCTAATCCTTACTTTAAACCAATTATTATTTTTTCCAAAGTTTTTCCAACCCTGCATTTTGCTGCATTTGTCCAGTTGTTGTCCAGCAGTTTTGCATGAGTATTTTGAGTATGAGTACATTGTGTCAGTTTTCCATGCACATTGAAGTATTTTCTGTGTTCAGCACTTTGTCTGTCATACATGTTACACATAATTAGTGTATTTATAGATGTAAAATTAGTCTCACGTTAATAAAAAAAGACTTTGTGAAAAAAGACCTATATGTGAGAAAATATATAACATCTTTTTACAAAAGCATTTATGACGTGCCTCTGTGATGTGAGTGCTGAAGAAGAGTTGTAGTCTGATGTAGTCTGACTGAATTAAACACAACAGCAGGGTTTTAGTTTAGGACATCGTTTGGCAGTTTTAATTTCTCTTGATTTTTTTTTCCTTTCAGGCAAATGTGAGGACAGCTTGGCCACTCCTCTACCGTACAGCTCCTTCACCAGCTCCTCAGTGTTCGGTCGGGCATATGGAGCTGGTAATGCAAAACTGATGAGAAAACAAGGTATGCATTTGCGACTGAGTAGGTATTCTAACACAGAATAGAATAGAATGTGTAAGTTTTGGCCAACCGATATTATTGGCCCAATCTTAACATACTATGTATATCTGTTATATCTGTAACAATTGTTATCAGTTTTCCTCTGATAATGAAAACCCGGTAACAACAAAGCATTTGCCAAATATTGTGTGCCCTAAAAACAGTTTTGGGGGTAAACAGCTGTATACTAAAGCAAAGGTCACTAGATGGCAGTATTGTAGCTCATTTAATTGATCTTATACTGTTAAAGTGGACAATATTGGTATATCAGATATCAGCAAAGAATATTAATATAGTAATAGTATTTTTCCATACCATCACTTCCTGGACACCTTGTTATTCCTGGTGCAAAAGACTAGAGAAAAGTTCTTTATGACATTCTCTCCATGTGTTGGGGTTTATTTAGACATCCGTTCTTCTCAGCATTTACAACACCATTAGTTCTGACCAAAAAGGCAAAAAATTCAGCCCCAAACTGTCACTGAACTCCTCCTGCATCTTTTAACAAATGACGCTGTTGTATGGGTTCTAAGCACAATGTCTTTCTGTGGCTGAGTGTTTACTGTGTGTACGCACTGTCTGCATTGCAGGTGTGAATCCTTCCACTCAGCCACTTTAGTCAATACCACCAGAGAAAAGATTCGGACTCTCGCTGGTGTGAATCATTTGATATTTTCATTTCTCCACTCTTCACCTAGGGGCCGGGGGCTGGTCACCTTTGGACACAGACCACTACCAGTGGTTGCAGGTGGACCTGGGTTCCAGGAAGCAGGTGGTTGCCATAGCAACACAAGGTCGCTACGGTGGCCCCGACTGGGTCAGTAAATACAGGCTGCTTTACAGTGACAGTCAGACGAACTGGAGGCCGTACCTACAGGATGGAAATATCTGGGTAAGAGATCGCATTTAAATAAACAGAAAGAAAAGGAGTAAAGTGTGAATGTGAAAATGGCCTGTTGAATCTTCTTGTGACTGAGGCCACAGACTAAAAGTCCAGTTCCTCAGTCAGTCCGCTTCATTAAAGCTTAAATAAACTGTGATGCGGACCAGACGACAAGGGTGTTGGTCTGCTGGCAAGTGAACCCTGGTGCAGTTCACTTAAAGACGCAAAGGTACCAAATAAAGAAATGGAAATGTGTGGTCAGCAGAGTGGGAGCAGAGAGGAGGTGCAGGAGTTTATTGACATATGGTCAGAGGTTTAGGTAGCGTAGCTGCTCGTGGCTAAAGAGGATTTATTTTTCCATATTTAGGTTCTTCCCAGAGTGGACCAGACCTTTTCATTCCTAGAAAGGTCAGAGGTCAGAGACAGACGAGGGGAGTTTTCATTTCCACACTTTACGAAATGCACTTTAATTCTGTTGGTTTACTTTATTTCTGTCTTCCAGACGTTTGAGGGGAACACGAACAGTGAGAGTGTAGTTCACCATGAACTGCAGCATCACATCCTGGCTCGTTACATCCGCCTCATCCCATTGGACTGGAGCAGGAAGGGAGGGATTGGAGTTCGACTGGAGCTCTATGGCTGCTCTTATTGTAATAATGTATTTCTGTTGCATGGAACTAAATGTCACAAAAATAATTTGTCTCTCCAAGTGGCACCTGACGTTAAGATATAGCAGCACCGACCTACACTGTTCAGATCACAATAACAGTCTATCAACTATATTAGTAAAAGCCAAATAACACACACACACACACTCACAGGGAGGAATAATATTCATCCTCTCTTCTCTTCTTCGTCCAGGGGCGGACGTGATCAGTTTTGACGGCCAAGGTGTCCTCTCCTACCGCTTCAGGAGCAAGAAGGTAAAGATCTTGAAGGACTTCATCGCTCTGAAGTTCAGGACCACGGCTAGAGACGCTGTCCTGTTACACGGGGAAGGACAGCAGGGAGACTACATCCTGCTGGAGCTCCGCAGAGCCAGACTGGTGCTCAGCATCAACTTAGGTAAAGGCCTGACATCTGCAGGAGAAAAGAGTGACGCTGAGAGGTGGCAGGGAAGAACCTAAAAAATTTTTTTTTTATTCTGAATGTGCCAACCGTTTCTGTTAGAGTAGTACTATTCTTACCTTGTGTGTTTTTGTCCTTTCTGTTCTTCCTTCTGTCCAGGCAGTAACCAGTATGGGTCCATTCAGGGCCACACCTCTGTGACCAGTGGGAGTTTACTGGATGATGACCACTGGCACTCAGTGGTCATCGAGCGTTTACGTCGGAATGTAAATTTTACACTGGATCACCACACTCAGCGCTTCAGAACCAACGGAGAGTTCGACCACCTGGACCTGGACTATGAGGTAAGAAAAAAGATAATCTTTGATCTTTAAGAATCATAGCTCTGCTCACTTTCCTCCCAAAAGCTTTAGGTTAAGACTCATTGTCCTCTGTCCATATTTTGATCAGATCAACTTTGGTGGAGTTGCTGTCTCAGCAAAGTACAGCTCAGGAGGCAGAGAGAACTTCATTGGCTGCATGGAGGGAATCACCTACAACAGAGAAAACATCACCAACCTGGTCCGCAGGAAGAAGGTCGACACCTCCAGCTTTGTAAGACAACTCCCTCTGGTGGAGTGTGTGTGTATGTGTCTTTCTGACTGTTGAAAGTCAGTCCAGTCTATAAACTGGGTTTGTTCTGGATTAATTATGTCTATAAATTCTATATCTTTTATACAATTTACACAGATTCTTTATATTTTCATTTGACATGAACTCTCTCTCCCTCTCTCTCTCTTTTTTCCTCTTTCTCCCTCTGTTCCCTGCAGCGTAACCTGACCTTCTCCTGCGCCGACTCCAACTCCTTCCCCATCTTCTTCAACTCCTCGTCCTTCTTGCAGCTGCCGGGTCAGAGTGACAGTGACACTCTGTCTGTCAGTTTGTCATTCAGAACCTGGAACCCAAATGGGCTGCTGATGTTCACGGCCCTGGCTGACGGCTGGGTGGAGGTGTCACTGATGGAGGGCAAGGTCACCGTGTACATGAATGTGACACAGAGGAAGAACGCACGGATTGGCATCTCATCAGGTGGGCTGATCTCGGATCAGTTGATTTTGGAGTGGAATTTGATTTAAGTTCTCTTTCTTGTCTTATTTCCTATTTCGGTTTTTTACCTAATAGTAAGGCTAAAGCACTTACCACTCTTCCACCTTGCAGACCAGACTTACAGGTCAGAAGGTCAAATGTGACATGCAGCCTGTGCCCTGTGTGTCCTGTGTCCTTCTCAGGTTCAGGTCTAAATGACGGCCAGTGGCACAGCGTCCACCTGAACGCCCTGGAAAACTATGCTATGCTGACAGTTGACGGAGATGAAGCCTCTACGGTCAGAACAGCCATTCCCATGCAAATCCAGACCGGAGGAGTCTACTACTTTGGAGGTAAACAATCCAGTGATGGGTCAGTGAGAAGATGGTGAATCCTCTAGTGGAAATTTACTTACTTTTGATGGATGAAGAAAACATTTTTTAAATTGGTGATACTGGAAAAAACAAACTTGATTGTTGCACTTTTTCTTCTCTGATTTGTGTCGCTTTCATGTTTGTCCAACTTTTTTTTTGCGTGATTCTAGGCTACTTCCTGCACATGAACACTAGGCCACCTCCACGCTCCTTCCAGGGCTGTATGCAGATGATCCACATAGACGACCACCTGGCTGACCTCAGGGCTGTGGAGCAGGGCCAAATGGGAACCTTTGAAAATGTCAGCCTGGATATGTGTGCCATTATTGACAGGTAAAATACAGAAGTTCACAAAAGGAAGCTCAGGTAGACGACGAGGGTGAGGGTTGGAATCAGACTAGAACAGGGACTTCCTGCTGGAATATTTCTTTCCAGAGGGTCCTTCACTACATTCAGGTTTTTTCTTATTTATATTTAATTTTTTTTTGTCTTTGCTCCCTCGTCCTTACTTCCTGTGGCCCCCTTTTGTCCTTTTACCACTATTTTCCAACCCTGTTCATTCCAGTGTGGAGCAGTGACCCCTAGTGTTGACAAGATAGATCTATTGTAAACAAGGCTAAGCTAAGCTAAGGGTCTTTTGTAACAAGCTCCAACTAATTCAGGTCCAAAGCAGTTAAGAAGGTGACCACTGGGCTGTCTTTGCCTCTTGAAATCCAAGAGGATTCTTCAGTTCTGACCAGACGTTAAAATGCGTTAAATAAAAAACAAAAACATTTTAAATCAGGTTAATTTAAGCCTGTGGTTAACATCCACCTGACTGCTCTAAGTCACACACCACAACTCCACTCCTCCACCCACACTCTCCAACAAACAATCCCTTGCTCCAGTCTCTCCTCCAACCTAAGCCAGGTGAGAAATGAACTCAGGAGGATCTGGGCCGATCCTGACGTCAACAGCTCCAGGCTCCTCATGTCCAGCTGTGTGGGATGGTAGAAATCATCTTTACTCTGGGCCTGAGGCCGAGGAGAGTACCACACCTATTGCCGAAAAGCAACATTTACCACTTAAACCCATGAGATCATTAATTAGCAGTCATCAAAAAGCCGGCGGTTCCTCTGTTTAACCCTTTGTTTCCTTGGTTTCAGATGTGTTCCCAACCACTGTGAGCACGGGGGCCGCTGCACGCAGACGTGGGACACATTCAGCTGCAACTGTAATGGCACAGGATATACTGGAGCCACCTGCCACACATGTACGTACACACACACACACTGTCACACACACACACACACACAGTATTCACACACTCTGTTTCTTCCGTAGCGTTGTATGAACAGTCCTGCGAGGCGTACAAGCACCAGGNNNCCGGGACCTACTTGATAGATCCAGATGGCAGTGGCTCTATAGCCCCCTTCAGGGTCACCTGTGACATGACAGGTGAGTTTTCTCTGACCTGTTAAAATATTTTCTGCATTCAAATTTCCATAGTGACTCTTTCTGACCACTCCCATGTTTTTCCGTTCTCTCAGAGGAGGCGGTCTGGACGACAGTGATGAACAATGTCTCTCCTCAGACTGCAGTCACTGGTGCAGACAAGGAAGGGAAGGCGGTGTTGAAGATCTCTTACAACGTGACAGATCAACAGGTGCATAACTGTCATGACACACTCTAGTGTTTTCTCTCCTCCGCTGTCGCTCTGTGTGTGTGTGTGAGTGGGTGGGTGTAAGTGTGTGTGTGTGTGTGAGAGAGACACACAGAAAGAACTTTTTCCTTTGTGTGAAATTGTTGTGATGTAACAGAGCAGCTGATTCCATGGAGACAGGATCAAAACTTTCATGAGTTTTGTCTCCTTTTCTTCATGACTGGAACTTTTATTTCAGCTGAAAGTGAATTAAAAAACAATGACCTGAGCATTGCTGCATGATTGTAAACAGCAAAGCAGGTTAATGTGGATGTGTGTGTGTGTGTGTGTGCGTACACATGATCATTCTGCCAGATGCAGGTGTGCCAAAAAATAAAAGTATCCAAGTATGTCATTAATATATTTGGATGACCTCACGTTCTCTCCAACATCTGTTTTCTCTCTCTCTTTCCTGTGTGTGAAGGTCGCTATGGTCACTGGAGATGCAGAGTACTGTGAACAGTACGTAGCCTACGCCTGCCGGATGTCCCGTCTGCTCAACACTCCAGGTAGAGTCATTCACAAGTCTGTAAATCGCCCTGAAAATACATGCAATACTTTGTTGTTACAATACAAAAATTTGACATTACATCAATTGTCAATTTTTCAATAAATATTAAGTTTGGCATGTGACTTCGTCCTAATTTTGGCCCACTGTGAATTTGAGTTTAACACCCCTGGATTAGAGGAAAATTGTGTTTATGTACCTTATCGTACCTTTTTGACCTTAATTATTGTACAGGACAGGTTTACGTATGGATTCTGTGTTTTTTTTTACATGTGAAAGTAGACTGTAACTGTTACTATTACTGTAACTGTTACTTACAGACAAAGTCCCATTCACCTGGTGGATAGGAAGAGCCAATGAGAGACATTCTTACTGGGGCGGCTCTGGACCCGGGATACAAAAGTGTTCCTGTGGCATCAAACACAACTGCACGGACCCCAAACACTACTGCAACTGTGACGCTGACCTGCGCTCCTGGTGAGACCACTGCCGCTGTGAGACGTGCGTGTTTTTATGATGTTATTCGGCCGCAATGATGAGTCTACGTGTGTGTGTGTGTGTGTGTGCAAATGCAGGAGGGAAGACGCCGGCCTATTGGCCTACAAAGACCATCTGCCAGTCAGTCAGGTCGTGGTTGGTGACACAAGCAGAGCTGGATCTGAGGCCAAACTGACTGTGGGGCCGCTCAGATGTCATGGGGACAGTAAGGCTCTCTCTGTTTCTCTGTTTCTCTCACACAGACACAGACACGTTCACAGAAGCTGTGGTTTTATGGGCGTGTCTTTGTTTTAACCCAGGGAACTACTGGAACGCAGCGTCCTTCGCCAGCCCCTCCTCCTTCCTCTACTTCCCCTCCTTCAGAGATGAAACCAGCACTGACATCTCCTTCTACTTCAAGACTTCCTCCACTCACGGGGTCTTTCTGGAGAACATGGGAACCACCAGCCTCCTTCACATAGAAATCAGAGGTTTGTTTTAAATAAATTCAATCAGGACTTTACAGGTTTTCATGGGAGTGTCTCTAACTGATACAACCACTGACTCCATTTGGTCCATGAACAAAAACTTTCAAAACAAGACAAACTTCATCCAAACTTTAGTCGTTTTAAAATGTTGAAATATGAAAAACCACTTTATGTCAAAGAATTGTGAATTGTGATTTCAGTTAATCTGTACTGCATTGGTTTCAATGGTAAAATTTACTCTGCACATCACTGTTTTTTTCTTCTCATTTTGAACAAATTTCAAACCTGCGGCTGATGTCGTTTTTTTTTCCCGCTCTTTCCAGAGGGAACCACGATCCTCTTCTCTTTCGGTGTTGGAAATGAAAGGGTGGAGTTAAGTGTGCGTTCACCAGTGCCTCTGAACAACGACCAGTGGCATCGTGTGGAGGTTGAGAAAAACGTGAAGGAGGTGGTGTTACAGCTGAATGAACAGTACAGAGAGGTCAGAGCTGCACCTCTGCAGGGACACACCAAACATGAGTTCTACAGCGAGCTGTATGTTGGTAAGACCAGCGTCCTGGGCTAATGTGACCACAGCGGGGTTTGCAATGAAATTGTAAATTAAAATGTAACTCTTTGTGTTTCCTCAGGTGCCTCCAGGGGTCAGAAGGGATTCCTAGGGTGCATGCGCGCACTGAGGATAAACGGCGTGACTCTCGACCTGGAGGAGAAGGCAAGGGGAACTCTGGGGGTGAGTCCAGGCTGCCAGGGCTACTGCAGCAGCTACGCGATGCACTGTAGCAACGGAGGGAAGTGTATGGAGCAGTACAATGGATACTCATGTGACTGCTCCCTCACTGCGTACGACGGACCTTACTGCACTGATGGTATGGACTCCAACAATAAATACGACCAAAAATATTTACATATAAATATATGCATATACATAAAATAGAAATACATATAAACAAATATATATAGATATATATGTGTGTGTGGGTGTGTGTGTAAGTAATGTACTAATGCATATATGCATTAATAATTTAAATGTCTGTTGTTCTCTGGCTCTGAATACACACACAGATGAACCGTAGGAGGGGTGTGATGATGTCATCATTCACTGGAGCAGATTAAATGTAAATATTTCTCTTGGTGCTGGTTGAGGGGTTTAACTAATCTGATCTTTCTTTTTTGTTCTGGTGTGTTTGCTGCAGATGTGGGCGGATACTTTGAGACGGGGACTTTGGTGCGATACGACTTTGTGTTGCAGAGTGAAGCCCCTTCGACGCAGGATGGAAAGACCCTGTCACAGGTCTGGGTTCCCATTGAGACCAACATGACCCAGGAGGAGCTGGTGTTTAGCTTTAGCACCTCCAGCACTCCCAGCATCCTGATCTACATCAGCTCCAGGACTCAGGACTACCTGGCAGTGGTCCTCAGGCACAATGGTGGGCTCCTTCATTCTTAAAATTTAGTTTGATCTAATTCAATGATATTAATAATATAATAATAAACCTCATTGATCATGATGCTCGGCAGTTAACGTTCTGTACAAAATACTTCCAGGCACTCTTCAGATCCGCTACAGCCTGGGGGGACTGACAGAACCTCACACCATTGATGTGGACCATCCAAATATGGCCAACGGACAGCCACACAGCGTCAACATAACAAGGAACCAAAGACAAATACGACTGCAGGTCTGTACAGTCCTGTAACTGGAAGCTGAGCAGCAGTTTGTTAGGCTCAAACAAAACACCGTGTTTTCTATGAAGACTGTAGCTGTAGACCATCAATCATGTCGTCTGTGTGTGTGTGTGTTCTCCAGCTGGATCACTATCCAGTTTATACATACAGTCTACCTGAGACTTCAGACGTCCACTTCAACTTGGTCAAAAGCATCTTTCTTGGGAAGGTCTTTGGTAAGTGTGACAAAATGTGATGAAATCAAACTTGTCGTTCTGGCTCGGTCAATAACAGCGGCTCTCTTACAGAGACTGGACAGATCGACCCCGTCCTCATAGAGCGCTACAACACTCCAGGCTTCGTCGGCTGTCTGTCCAGAGTCCAGTTCAACAAAGTGGCACCTCTGAAAGCTGCACTGCGCTCAGGTCAGGCGGCACCCGTCGGCACACATGGGATTCTGGTCCCGTCCAATTGCGGAGCCACACCCCTGACTATCTCCCCCATGGCCTCAATCAGTGACCCCTGGCAAATAGAAGCAGGTAGAGACACAGAGAGATGATAACAGTCGACAGGAGCGTGAGAAAACACCAGTGTTGAACTGCATGTGTTTGTGTGTGCCCACCACAGGAGGTCTTGCCCCCCTCAGTGAGGAACAAGCCACCATTAGTGGAGTGGATCGCAACTTTGCTGTGATTGGAGGTAACAACCAGTTCATGTAGAGGGAACGTGTTATGCAAAATTGACTTAGTCAGGGTTTCAGTACACCATTGGCTAATTACCATTTAAGGTACATATGTCCGATACCTGTATATCAGATATCTGTATATCATATACCTGTATATCATATATATTGTCCGATACCTGTATATCAGATATCTGCAAAAAGTTAAAGGTTAATTCACTATTATTTCATTCTGATATCTAGACACCATATTTAAAATGTAAAAAAATAGCATTCTTAATGTGTTGACCTTGACACCATCAGATGTTCAGATTCTGGTACTCTTTCCAGTATTTTCCCATAATTCATCTGCTCATTGCTCTTCCCTCAGGTATTATCTCCGTGGTGCTCCTAATCCTGCTGTGCATCATGGTGTTCGTCATCCGCCATGTGTTCCGTCACAAAGGCTCCTACCACACCAACGAAGCCAAGGGGGCGGAGTCAGCGGACTGTGCTGATGCAGCCATCATCGTCAACGACCCGGCGTTCACCGAAACCATAGAGGAAAGCAAGAAAGAGTGGTTCATTTGAGGCCTTTCTCACCTCCGCAGACACATGACGTCAGGATGTATGTAGTTTTTTAAGCATAGGGACAAATAGTTGGGTAGAGTTGCCTCCCTTGGGACGCTTGTTTGAAGAACTTTCTGGACTTTGAATGCTATGGCACAACAGGGGCTGTAACAGGTAGAGAACTGCCCTGCACGGCCCACAGGCAGAGTGGTTTGACTAGTATTTACACTGGGAGAAGACGGTGCCGTGAAGGTACAGGTCAGTAAAGAGTGAATGTGTTCATCGCTGTCGTTTGTTGTTGTGTTTTTATGTATATGTTATTTATTTGGAATGTATTTATTATTTTATTTAAAAATTGAAATGCACACATTTCTGGATTTATATGTTAATATCTGTTGACATTTGTGCGCTGTGCTGAAATTCAAGACTAATTTCTCCATTATTTTGGCTGTCCACCTGTCTCTCCTACAGACATGGTATAAAAATGAATGCGGTCTGAAGTCTTTACTAAGACCTTAACGTTCACAACGTGATCAGTGTTATAGTCAATAAACAACAAAACCGTATATAGATTATTATTCATATCATTCTCTGCACATTTTTTTTTATCAAAGAATATTTTACATTTGCAATTCAGACCACTAACCTTACAAATGGGTCTAATGTTCATAGTGCAAAGATTAGATTATTTTTATGGAATAAATAAAACATTTTCTTTTTTTAATTCAACAAATTAAATACAAGGATATTTGGAATTATTTCCTCATCTATTAAAATTCACCGAATATCCACGACCTGTTACCAGAACAGAAACATTTTAAGGTGCTGAGCGTTTTACTGCAATATCTGCATATTATGAACCTGCTAGAAATAAAAATAACATGTCAAGTTGCTGTATGTGAGTGGAGGCCCAAACATGAGCCCACTCACAATGGCATGGTTTCATGGTTTACATTTGATTTTCTGTATGTACCAGGGTAAGTCATAAAGTTCCAAGACAGATGTAATTCATAAAGGTGCCTGATTTTGTCAATGTAAACATGTGGTGACATGTTTTTATTATCATCTTTGTCAAATGTTGAGCTTTGTTTTTTTATATCACATCCTGTCTAGCCATTCCAACATCTCAGTATGAATTGCTGGTATTTTACAGTTCTCTGTTGAAAGGACTCTTGTTTTTTTAGTTTTGAAGGTGTCATGGAAGGACACTGGCTGATAGGAAACGTTTGTCAACATTCAGAAACCGATGTCTGAGGAATACATTTACCTCCTTTATTGATTTTTGTTTTGTATTTTCTGATCAGAAAGAAGTTTGCTCCATCATATAAATGTAAGACCAAACATCCTGACAATAGATTGTACTGCATTGTACTGTGCTCCTCTGACTGCACTGCTTTGTACTGGCATGCTGTTTCACTCTTGTATGCAGACATTTCTTTGTGATGAAACCACTCAAGTATTACATCACATTTTTTCATGTTCTCTGTATAAAAGCTTATCCTAAGTGTTGTTTCATTTGATTTGATTTTTTATTCTCACTGCTTTCACAATTGCCTTGGATTTAAAAAAAAAATTAAAATATGAGACTGCACATATTTAGTTCTTTGTTTACATTCTACGTCATCGTGTGCCGGGCGTCGATTGGCTGTAAAGAGGCACTTGAGATGATCCAGAACATATGAGCAGGATCCGTTATTGTACATTACGGGTGTGTTTGATTCATTGACCGTAGCTGGAGGTAAGATTATTGCATACATAACAAAGTTATATTCAAATTAGTGTAAGCTTTTAAGGTCGCAACAAATATGACGGTGAAATTGCGCACCGGCAACCACATTCAGATGCTGGTGCGACGTACCTTCAAAATAAAAGCATGAAACACGGTGAAGCAAAATTACATTTAAAAGACTAACTAGCCCGTCCGGAAATTGTGGGTGTTCGCGTGTAGAAATATGTTGAGATTTATAAATATGACCTGTGTCTGTAGTTGTTTCAATTTGATTTTAAAAATTGTTTGATTTTGCTCATAGCTGTGTTTTGAGATTTTATTTTGACGCTTACGCATGCATGCTGGATTTTGCGTGCGCCGTATTACGACCCAACGTGTACCGGAAACCGATTTTCCTGCTGCGCTTTTTCGACAGTCTTCATACAGTAATGCAGCGCCTGTGTTTGGGGCAGCCATTCTGATGCAGATATAAAGCGTCCCAGGGAACTAAAAAGAAAACATGAAGCGCGGATAGTGTACGACGTCATGATGCTGGAGAAGAGCAGGTTGATTTTGGTGGCAAACCTCGCTTTTCTAAGCAGTGGCGAACAAGTGGAGAAAGAGGAGACAATTCACTGTCTCTGCTCCAGGGCGTTTGTAAAGTGAGTCTTTTTTCATCTTTAATGTGTTTCGTACAAACTACGACACGTTGGTTCTTCATGACGATGTTAACAAACTGAACTCAAAGTAAAACTAATTCACTGACTGCCTCCTGTAAGTTGGTTTTACAGCTGCACATATGAGAGCAACGTATAAAAAATATTAACAAAGAAAATTACCCACTAACTTTGATGTAGAGCCACTAACAACAACAACAACGTTATATTAATATAAATTGTTATTGGTGAAAATGAGAGCATAATCTAGTATCTTTAATGTGTAAACAATACATGTTACGTAATGTCATTTGGGAACGATATCTAACGTAGACTTACGTCACTGATTATCAACATTTCTGTAAGCTGATCAATTACACATTGTAATATTTTAATTAAAAATCTGAAGATGGCCAACCAGTACGTTCTTCTCTTATCCTGTATTATCTACCCTGACCATTAGGGGCGTCATTGTCTTTACCCTCAGCTCCACATCCTCTGGTGCCTTTGTTGATCCACTGACATTGTAAATGCAGGTTGTGTTTCTGTTTCCAGTGACCGCAATCTTTACCGCTCTGACAACAGACTCCTGATCTCTGAGCTGATCCACGGTGGAGCCCAAGGTTGGTTAGAGCATCTCACCATCCATTAGTTAGTGCCACAAACTAATGTTTTAAAACCACAAGCCTTTTAAAATGTCAGGTTAAACCTGTGTTTTTTATATTCCTGTACTTTACTGTAAACATAACTGTAAATGATTGTAATTGATAATAATAATTGTTTTTCAAATGTCTTCAGACTCAAGTGATGAAAATGAGGATTCAGAGGAGGAGCAAGAGGAGGAGGAGCAGGCTGAGGAGCCGCTGGATGAAGAGGCTGAGCTGATGGCCAGTATGGGTCTGCCATTGGCCTTTGCCAGCTCCTCTGAGTACAAGAAAAAAGTAAGTTAACAGTTTCTTTCAATGCATTTTAGAGACATCTAATGCTAAACTCACACCTATACACTGTCTTGTTTTGTTCTTGTTGCAGAAATCAATTTGTATTTCCTCTTATTTTAACAACAATGACAATGCAAATGTTGATAACATAGTGAGGTGAAATAGTTGTGGCTTGCTACTGATTGAACAGGTGAGGAAGTCAAAGTGGAATTATACTGAACACTGGGAGGAAACGGCTGAAGATGATGAAGATGAAACTGAGCCACAGGATGAAAACAAAGGTGAAGCAGGTTACCTTCTGTCATAAATAAACAACAGTGTGTACCACAGGGCTGGGTGTTGTTTGATACAATTTCTATTTAGTATTGATCTAAATGCTTGATCAAACAACTCATCAGCATGGTTCTGTTCTTTTTTGGCCCAGATAGTGAGAAGCCAGCGTCTGATGCACTGGACGAAGTAGCTGGAGAAGAAGAGGCCAACAATACTGGCTGGCAAACCTACTGGGGTAAGAGGAGGGAAGAATGATGAAGAGTCACTCTGTGATTCACTTTTCTAACAAAACTTATTTTTTTATTATTTTCTATTTCCTTCTGAAGCTCAACAGGGTGAAGCTCTGCTGTGGAGCAGTTGGCTGGAGAAACATCCAGAGACTGAGCTTCTTTCTCCAGAAGACCCTCCTCCGTGGGACAACACACAGACTAAAGCAGAGTGGGACCAACATGCTGCAGACACCTACTACACCTACTGGGGGCAGTATTGTTACTGGTCAGCTCAGGGCTGGACCACTGACCAGTCTGTCAGGACTGGAAACATGGATGGAGAAGCAGCTGCAGGCGAGCAGGACATGGGTTCAGTGGACTTGAAGGACGGACAGACAGAGGGTGATAGTCCAACACAGTCAGAGGACGTGGACAGTGTTCATAAAGAGGTGGAGAATTTGGAAAATCAGTTTGAAGTAAAGTGCACAGTAAACACAGACCAGTGCTGCCTGACACAGTGTGTTGGCACGTCTGCCGTCACAGAGCAGTTGAACGGACACATCGGCTGCTCAGGTCGTCCACACGGCGATGAAAATGATCGCAAAAGACCCGGTGGCAGCACGGAACAGAAGACAGTCAAACACACGGGTACATCCACCCACCTACTGTACACATTCACTCTATATATAGATATAAACAGATATATATATATCATAAAGTTCTATCTATATATGTAAATATCTATATATATACAGTTTAATTTGAGTAAATATGGTTGTGTTATATTTTGACCCAGATTCCTGCCATGCTGCTGGCAGCCCTGAAGGAAGCTGTGCTAAAAGGATGTCAAACAGAGACGATGATGATGACGACAAACCACCAGAGGGAGGTAGAGCTAAAGTCAAACGAAGGTGATTGTTATTTAATTATTATTTTCAAAGACTGTCAAAGAAATGACAAATCTACACTTTTGTGATAAAAGCAGTTTATCGGTGGACTGGTTGTGATCTACTGGTTGTGTTTTTTTGGTCACAGTCACGAGCTGGACCTGGAGGAGAGCGCTCAGATGTCGCCTCAGGAAGCTTTGCTAAAACTGGGATTCAAGTGCAAGCCGGATCCACAGTGAGTGTGACATCTACCTCACATACTTCACCCGTTACATTTTCAATGGACTTGAGTCTATTTTAATTTGTCAAATATTCAAAAGGTCAAAGGGAAAATTGTGTGTGTGTGTGTGTCCAGATTCAGTGGTGTACTGAGCTTTAAAGATGGCGCCTGCAAGAAACATAAGAAGAGAACACAGAGAGGTCTGAACAAACACACCAGGTTCCCTGACACAGGAAGTGATGACACACAGTCACACGGCTGCTTCGTCCTCTCTAAGGTACATCTTGGTGGTTCTCTTACTCAATTTCTACAGAATAATACTGTTCAGGCTCCATGCCAGCTTCAGTTTACTACCAGGGATTAAAGCAGTGATATTTTTCAGGGGGGCAAGATTCCAAACCACTCGTCCACTCAATAACGTGTCAATAATTTGTGGCTTTCCTTTAGGTCAAACACAGTTTGTTTTTACTTTAGGTAATATACGATATTGTTGTTTTATTTTTAGGTCAAGAACTTTCTCCAGAAGAACCTAAAAGACAGAGAAGTGACTGCAGATGACGTGAAAGAGACAAGTGAGAAACTCCCTGAACCTGAAGACGATGTATTGGTGAAAGAAGAAGAAGAAGAAGAGGAGAAGAGAAGGGAGATGGAAATGAAGAAGACGGAGGAAGGGCAGGAGGACACTTTGGAAGAAGATGGCAGCAGTTCTGACAAAGAGAGGAAGGACAGGAAGAACACTGAGGAGAATGTGGAGAACATTAAAGAAGAAGAGGAGGAAAAGTCCACATGTCCAGACGACACTAATGTCCTGCTGTGTGGAGATCCTGAAAACACCTGCGGTAGGTGCAGCATGTGTCACATGACTCTGATCAAACAATTGTACAGTCTGATGATTGTTAACCTACATGTCCATGTGTATGAAGCAGAGGTAAAAAGAAGGACCAGGAAGAAAAAGAAGAGGAGGAAACAGCAGCAGGTATCATCTGAACATTCACCAACAAATCCAACTTTCTGATACGTGCTGATCCTTTTTATGGACACAGACAAACATGACAATGTTACATAATATTCGGCTGTTATTCAGCTCTCTCCTATTGACCAGATAAACATGGTCAGCTTGACCAGATAAACATGACAATGTTACAAAATTCAGCTGTTGCATTCAGAGCTGGGAGGTTGCCGTGACCAGATAAACATGGTCATTTATCATGGTCAGCTTCTTCCTGTTATTCTGAACTGGCCCTTACATGATGTCACACCATATTCTCCACCACACAGGTTCCTGCTG